GTTGTTGAAGATTAGGGGTGTCTGTGTAACGCCTGATGTTTCAAACGGACATTAAAAATATCAGGACAGTGCAGGCACAAAGATGAAATACAGAAGATGAAAGTTTCAACTTTCAGTAAACCCAACTTACAAAATTAACATCACATATCTGAAATTAGTAAAATTAGTAAAAAGTAGGCCTGAGGTCTAGATTCTGACATGTCACTGTTTAACCAGGCAGTGAGTGGGAACATGTGAGAAGAATCACAATACGCAGAGCTGGTGTGATCTACAAAACCTTATTACCCACTCAAAGTCCACATAACAGCAAGGAACAAAACATAGAGAAACAAGAAATAAAAATACATAAAATACAAGCAATACATCCTACAAAAGACAACTACCAGTYCCTTTTCATCTGAGACTGGTAACACTGAGCCTTAGTCAGGCACYTTYTTATTGATTTACAGCAGTCACTGGCACATMAATAAATTTAAACATCAAATTTCTTAATAGAACCCAAAAGGTTTTAAGCCCGCATCACAAAAAGCTAACTAGCACGCTCCCATTTTGACTCTAAAAAGAGCAGCAAAGAAATACACTTAACARTGAAATAATTTTGGTCAAAAATGCAAAAGGAAAGCAGGTGTTAGTATAAAAGTAGACTACACTATTTACAAAGAAATGCATGAATGACCAAGAACACAAACAATAACTCAGAACCCCACCACAAAACCTCAGGATCATGGCAATTTTAAGATAGAAACTTTACTTTAACACAGTATTTGCTTGTAACTGTATATGAGCGACACTGAGCCTTTCTAAAGTGGATTAAGCCATCTTAAAACAGCAGAATTGAACCTTTTTGTGAAATTTATTAAACTGTACCTGTCATTGAGCTAATTGTATTCAGTCTAATCAGTATACAAGAAAGTAAAAACAACAGACTAAAGAGAAGGGATCAATCATGGTCTTTCATCCAGTAAATCAGCCCTAAATATAAATATTGCTAAAAATAAAAATCCTAACAGGAAAAGTAGGTGTTTTCCTCCTGAACCAGTTTTATTGAAAAAAAAAAGCCTGGCAGGAAGATTCTGCTTCTAGTTCAGTTTTTAGAAACTCTATAAACCACATGTAAACTTGCCTGAGAAGAAATGGCTGATTTGGGTTTGCATGGAATGATAAAGACTTCAATTCAAACTGTTGTGGAAACATTTTTTTGGCTTGAGAAATCGCCAGTGGCTACGAGGAACTGTATTTAGAACTTCTGTACACGCATGAAAAGATAACACATGAGTCATTTGGGAGACGATTTGTTTAAACACCCCAAACATTTCTGCTTTGTTGTGCAGCTGCATCGGGGTGTGTCATATTTAACATGTAAGATCAATTAAACTTACTTTGGTTCCATGAAACATTTTTACAGTGTTCATTTTTACATTTGTACAGTGTCGTCCCCCCAAACATCCAAGCAACACTTATACCATGTTTTTGTAATTTAATTATTCTCCAGATACTTGAGTGGTCACATGTGACCACTCAAGTAACATCATGATGTTACTTGAGTGTTACATCTTAACACTCAAGTAACATCATGTCTATTAAGATGTAACACTCAAGTAACATCATGTTACTTGAGTGTTACATCTTAATAGAGCCCAAAAGGTTTTTGGGTTCTATTAAGAAATTTGATGTTTAAATTTATTCATGTGCCAGTGACTGCTGTAAATCAATAATAATGTGTCTGACTAAGGCTCAGCATTACCAGTCCCAGATGAAAAGGCACTGGTAGTTGTCTTGTGTAGTTGTGTTTTTTTTATGTATTTTTATTTCTTGTTAACGTCTAACATCATGATGTTAATATGAGATTATAAAGCCAAGTGTTTTCAGTGTTAGATAACTTTTAATGAAATCCAACCAGCCAAACTCTTTGGAGATCTCCATATCACTTATTTGTCAAACTATGCCTTGAAAAAAACACACACGATTGTTTAAATTAACAATCAATCTGAAAGTTATCACTTTGTTTAGACAGTGACTTTAAAAAAAATCAACAAGATCTAGCTTATTCTAAAGTACTTTTTTAAAGAATAGAGACTATAAATGTAAAARATAAAGAAGACTAAGATAAAAACATTCAATCTAGTGCTTTAAATGCAAGATTAAAAAGAAAAGCAATTTTGCCACTTTAAAAATGTTAGTTTTTTATTAAAAAATTGCATTTTACTGCTTGACAAAGACCTAAAAGTACATAACTCTACATGTTTCTTTCTAATCAATGCATGAACTGAGACGCTCCTACATTCACGTTCCCACAGTTTCACTCGAGTCCATCAGAGGGCAGTAAAACAAAAGAGAGAGCGTCACAAAAGTCTGTCTGGACACATCATTTGAAAAAAAAAAAAAAAAACAACAATATTTAATTTTTTTTCTATGTTAACCAATTTTTTTTGTCAGTTTTCAGTTTTGTCTCTACATTAAACGGCCTGTAACAGTAACAACATTCTTTATGATCATCTGTGTTCTGCAGAAAAAACAGTTCTGAAGTCCAGCTCATGTGCAACAAAATAACCTACAACCCTGCAAAAGCCACTTGTTGTGGAGGACAAAACATAACAGGTAATGGTTTTCGTGTCAAAGCAGAAACAAATAGAAAAGTGACTTTATTCATAATATGGAGAAACAGTTGTTCAGTAGGAACAACTTTTCATAAAATGTGTGAAAACTACAAAAAGTAAAGTTTTTTTATTTTTACTTCTGTGCTTTAGACCCTTAAAAAGCAACACACTGGTGAAGTCAGGATCAATCAGATTAAACAGACTTAAGCTCTCCAACATTAGTGCAATGTGCTATTGTCTACTGTAGGGGGCCTCTGTGGCACTGTGGTCTGTGCTGGTCGGCTGCAGGTTCAAACCCATGTTGTGTCAGAAAGGGCACCAGTTTGATTGCAGTGATGAGCCCTAAGCAGCAAAATAAATAAATAAATAAATAAATAAATAAATAAATCTGGGTTCTTATTCCAACAAGTTTTATTAATAATATTGTTGTTATAATTTTGATGATGATTCAAGATTTAAGATTGAAGAGTTTTATTGTCATATGCCCAGCATACAAGCAGTTACACTGTGCAACAAAATTCTTACTTTGCAGTTCCTCTATTTACCGACAGTCCGATATWTTATAAATAAAGTATAATAGAATACAAAAGTAGTGTGGACAGAATAATAGATATTTACAGTTTTTACATTATTTTTGGACAGTAGCAGCTGAATGTTTAGTGCAAAAAGACACTATACAGAATTATAGAGACAAAATAATAATGCTACTAACGACTGAACATTAAGGCATTTGGTTCTCAAAACTCTCCTACTGATTTGTAAAAATAGCAACTCTTTATTCACTCACTAATATTATTCTGTCAAACTAGTAAAGCTTTAACTAGATTTTACTAAATGCTATATATAAAAACTGCTGCTACTGCACTTTTTTTGTTTTTTAGCCCTGCAGGTTTTCTGACTGTTGACTCGACCTTGCATTATGTGATGATTGTGAAATGACACAATGATAGTGAAAGTAGACACTTTAAGGAAAATATTATCTCTCTAATTTCCATGAGTTCACAACAAGTTTTCCCACGTTGTAAAACCTTTCCATTTCAATCCAAAGGCTGTTGTTACCTCGAGCAAAAACTCACTGATGTCTGGGAGTGATGAATCAGTTTAATCAGTTTATTGTTCAAGTCAGCCAAAGGTTTACCCTCTGGCTGACTTTTCTGTTCCACTCAAACCTTTCATTAAACATTGGCGATTCAAGGGCTTCTCTGCAGCAACATACTGAATCTTTTGGGTTTTTTTTTTTTTTTTTTTTTGCTACTGTCGTTACAGAAGGCCTGAGTGAAAACATGTCTAAGTGCTGTGGACTGAAGGCGTACAACCCCATTAATGAAATTTGCTGTAAATCAAACTTACATGCCAAAATTTCAGCCAACACCACTTGTTGCGACAAAGGTAATTAAAGCTCACATTTACTCACGCTTTGTGGCAAGTTAGACAACCAGTTCACCTAATGTGTGCGTTTTCAGACTGTGGGAAAAACGGTCCACAGTAGCCTTTTTGTTGAAGGCAACGCATGCAACCCGCAAAATTATAATGCAGCTCAAAATAAGGTTACAAACTGCCGGTTAGGCCTGGAGATTATGATTCAAACATCTGATCATTGTTTTTATGGTTTTTTATCAGTTATTTAACAATCTGACATTCACTTAGCCTTAACTTTTAAATTAGTTCAAACATCAGGCATTGACCCTGAGTATACTACTGCCTGATGACATACACAACCTTGTTACCAACTCAAAGTCCACATGGAACAAAACACAGAGAAACAAGAAATAAAAATGCATGTCATACAATACAAGCCATACATCCTACAAAGGACAGCTACCAGAGTCGTAAAAGGAAAATGTGTTTTCAGTTCTTATTCTATCTGGGGTATCATCACCAGAAGAGGCTGTAAACAAATTTACAATACATTAAAAACCCAAACTCTGAACAAGGGATGACTCGATACTAATTTTACTCAAATGAAATATGAGTACAAATACTTCAGTTTGGGTACTTGCAGATACGGAGTACCGATACCAGCCCCACTGACTCTATCAATTCTACAGCATCATATATACTTTTGCAAAATTTTAAATAACAACAACAAAAAAAGATTTCTTAAAATTGTAACAGATTCAATGGAGTATCAATTCCAGTACTAGTACRGATACTAGTTTTGATATCAAGCCATTTTGTATGAGTACTTGCATAAATGCTGATATCCGGCCTGATACCGCACCACTACTCTGAACATAAACAGCCTCAGAGCGGTTTGTAAGTTCTCAAATAAAACATCAGAGTTTAACCTCCAATAGAATTCATTTTCAATGTTCCTAACTAGAAAACAGAATTTAATTTATAAAACAGGAGGTCCAGTCCTTTTGACGTATTGAGCTTTGTTAGTACAAAACTGCTTCAAATGATTTCTGAACTGTCATTAAAGCATCATATTGATTTTTTTCCACAGATCCCTTTGAAGAAGACATGCATCTGTGTTGTGGTACGGAAAACAACCAGAAACGCATGACCCGGCTGTCCTCTGACCATCGGTGCTGCATAGGCAGAGGGCTCAAGGGCCAGTACAACAGAAAGCTTGAGTGCTGCTGTGAAAAAGAATACCCACTTGTACAATTTAAAGTCGCTGAGGGAAAATGCTGTGGTAAGAACCCAAACCCGTAACCCTGTTCCTAATGTTTCAGAACAATCTAAATTAAAACAATAATTATGAGAGTACATTTAATTTGTGCAAAGATAGTTGCTCTTAATTTTTTAAAGAACATTTTTGTTACAATGTCACATTAACCACGAACAACAAAAAAAGTATACTTGAGGCTGTCTGTATTGCTGTTATGCTCTAGTTTACTGTAATCGAACATTGACAAAGTGTCTGTGCTTCAACAAGCAAGGCTTTTTCACTTTTGTTGTTTACTTGAAAAAAATGCCAAAAAGCTTGTGAACCACTGGTAAATAGCAAAATGACATGTATTTTGCTTGATGTTTATCTTATAGTAAAGAACATCTCTTCGCCCAGCAGCCAGAGGTATGTCCAGTAATTAATTTAGATTTACTGATATTAAGTTTTGTTCTGAGTGAATGAGCTCCATGATGTGACTTTTGATACATTTTGCAATAACTGCACTTGCTTTGCCGAGTGTTTGAGGTGTGCTTAATCTTTGAAAAACACTTGTTATTAACCTTGAAAGAAGCTTTGTGAGATTAAGATAAGAGTATGGGAGATTGTAGCAATTGTTTTAGTTTTTTTTTTAACCTGACTCATCTTTTTTGACATTTTTTGAATGGCTTCTTCTTTGTTTCCATCCAGTACCGATGGCAAATCAAAGGCTGACCTTGGATATTTCGAGAATCCAAAGGAAGGAAATCTTGGCACGAACGAGGTACACCCTGGAGAGAAGAGAAACTTAATGATTGTAGGAATAAAGACAGAATCTATGATGGAAACAGGTGGAAGTGAGAAGCTGTGAGTAGTGAGTAGATGAGGTGGGGTCAACCATCCAAAGCAACAGACAGTGAGGTGAAGAAAGGAGTGAAGGGAGGGTGGAGTGGATGGAGACGAGTGGCAGGGGCAAAAGGGAAGATTTACAAAATGGTATTGATGTCTGGTTTGGAAAAAGTAGAAGCTGAGATGAAGGTGTTAAAAGTTTCACTGGGAATGGCTCATTTGGACAAAATTTAAAAAGTGTATATTTTAGGGATATCTCAGTTGGAGAAATGTTACATAGACATTTGGACATTTGCAGAGGTTTAGGGTTAGTCTAAAAAATTGAGTCAGGTCCTCYTGGATGGGTTCTTCTTCATTGAAATGTTTTGTCTCTTCTCCAAGAGTCTTCTTCAGTCTGAGGAGTTTCAGATTTGCTCAGTCTTATAAGCTAATGTTCCTCCCTATCAAGGATGAGAACATTTTCATCTCTGAAAGAGTGACCACTGGCCTGCAGATGAGTGTAAACTGCAGAGTCTTGGCCTGGTTATATTGCTCTTTTGTGCTGGAACATCATTTTGAGGACACCAAACCCAGGCCCAGAGCAGTGGCCATTCTGTACGTTGCAAAAATTTTAAAGAAACTGAAAAGTTTAATTTCTAAACATGACATCGAATTGGCTTTCAAACCCCAAAACACATTACAACAAAGACTGGTTTACGCCAAAAATCCAGTTCCCCGGCACAAACAAAGTAATGCTGAGTATGCTGTTAAGTGCCAGGAGGACTGTGGCCAGTCATACATTTGAAGAAACAAAGCAGCCATTGTTCAAAAGGATGGTCCAACACAGAGGAGGATGTAGGTTGAGATGGAGGCAGACGATGCACTGAGCCGACCATTAAAGAGATCCAGTTCAGTTCCATGTGATCCAAATGAATTTAGTTCAAATTGATCCATTAAAATTTTTATTTGAAGGTTTTTCCATTTAAAAATATGACGCGTCTACTCTCCCAAACAGACAAAGTGCACCAATGGAAATCGAGTAGAAACCTACTTCGAGCAGGATGGATTCGAGTGCTGTGGTCACTATTACTACAACACATCTCTGTGGTCGTGCTGCAACAAAAGACTCATTCCACGAAATAAACATGGCTGGAGTTTCATCTTTGCAGGTAAGAAGCCTTACAGCGGTGCTAACACAAGGACTCCAAATTTGTCACTTTAACCTGGGCAGTTTCTGCATTTTGTTAATAAAATATACTTTATATTATATTGTTTTACTCCAGGCTCCAACATCTGTGTGTAAACGGTCTGAAAGAAGCAAACTGCTACAACAGAGGTAAAACATCAATTTAAAATTGACATATTTTTAATTTAGAAAAAGAAAGATTTGAAACAAATATTGTAATTAATTTTTTTAATCGTTTCATTCTTTCACTTTTCGTTGGACACTTTTGCCTCAGAATGGACCCATGGAAAGACCTTCCTGTTCAGTGACACTGAAGTCTTCACTGAAGTGAAACTTCTGTCTGCCCTCCAGTTGCTTCTTTTCATTCTTTGAGTGTTCCCAGTTGGTCACCACTGGTTGGTTTGTTTCTGCCTACTGTGAACACTAAACTGTACTTAGTTAGTACATGTGAATAACTGCACTTATTAATGACACAACTATAGCCACAATAATAACTTCAGACATTACTAGTCTGTGCATCTCAGTCACATCAAGAACTGAAGTTTATGACTCAGGTCCAGATCGTGATCGCTGTCACAATCTGAAACTACGAACAGAAGTTTGTACTGTAACAGCTAACATGGTGCATGATGACTTATTCATCTTTATACTGCTATTCTTTGCAAGTTGGAAAGTAGCAACAATTCCTAAAGGGTAAAAAAAAGCTATGCCTGTATTTACCAGCTAAAAATCTGTATTTGTGATAGCAGGTTCTCTGAAAGATCAAAAACAAAAAGTTATTATAAGCTAAACTGCTGTCAGATAACACAGTTTGGTATAGGAAATATGCTACTTCTATTATACTCTGCTGTTTTTGCACCTTATTGATTTTGACTTATGAATATTTAATAATATGTAATTTGTTATGACTCCATCGATAAAGCTAAAAAAACAATTACCATTTAAACAGTTTAAGGGTTTGATGTGTTCTTTATTTAAAAGCTATGCTCAGCTGTTCAACCCAAAAAGCTGATATTTTAAATACCAGTTGGTGCAAATGTGATTTATGTACTGTAATACATTTGGTAATTGTTGAAATGGAGTTTAGCGCAGAATGTTTTAATGTGCATTACATTTATTTTTGTTAATACACTGCTCAAAAAAATAAAGGGAACACTACTGCTCAAAAAAATAAAGGGAACACTACTGCTCAAAAAAATAAAGGGAACACTTAAACAACGCACGCTAAGTCCGAGTAAATCAAACTTTTGTGAAGCACATTCAACTCTYTACAGAACAAAGTACTCAATGCTAATAWTTCTTTGATTAAGATCGGGAGTTAGCGTGCGTTGTTTAAGTGTTCCCTTTTTTTGAGCAGTGTATATTGAACAGATCACACTATAAACTTGAATGTATCACTTAAACTTTTTTTCATTTAAGCTTTCAAATAAAAAAGCATTTGTAAAACCTTTGAGTGTGTGTAATGATCATAACAATGAGMTTCTGAAGACCTTAAAATGTTGTTTTTAACAGAAATAAATTCTGGCGGGTCAGGAGGACACTTTAATTTAGCTGTAGTTTGGTTTTTATGATTAGAAATTTACAGATTACMCTTGCATAATGTCCTAACATAACTTTAAATTTGACACTGATGTCCTCCTACACCCAACATTTRACATTTGCATCTGCTTAAGGCCCTGTCATACTATTACATTTTAGACAACTTATGCCAACTTGTGATAAGTTTGTCTAACACTAAAGACATTAAAGCTGTACATATAATAAAAAAATCTAGAGGAAGTCTCTTTTGAACCTGTTCTTACCATAATGCAAACAACTGAGTGAAATGGGGAAAAAAATTTTCACAAGTCGGCATAAGTTGCCTAAAATYTTATAGTGTGACAGGGCCTGTAACAACATGTTTTGCTCCTCTTTAGAATTCTACTACTTGATGCACCTCATGTGTCCATTACTTTCACAAGGTTGTCTTGGTTCCTGGGGGTGGGTGATACTGGGAATCTTGGCATCGATCCGATACGAAGTAAACACAAGACTAGTGTAAAGAGTTGTTCATATTGGAAACTCGAATAATACATGGGAAACCTGTTAAGTTCTCAAGTTAAATGTTAATTTTCAGATCTTAAGGCTCCATTTCACTCTGAGCCTGTCTGTGGTTCTGAGTCTAAACAAAATGGCTGCCGATCACTTGTTCTTATTACATTAAAAATGGTCACAACCTCTTGGTCCCTTATACATCAGCAGTAAAATGCCTGAAATGTAAATCATTGTGTTTAACTTAGATACTTGTTGGTTCTCTTACTGTTTAAAGTAAATTCCTATTACCAATTACTAATARAAAATACAAGACTGGATGTAAAATTCAGGTAATCAGTCACAAAATATCCAACATTAGCACCTCTAATACCAGTGCAAATACTACTACTTTTTACTTGAAATGTCACGTCCACTGAATAACTTTGGCTTTAGTTAATCTATGATAAATCACGTGACAAATACTTTTGATTTATTAGTTAAAAATTTTAAAATACTGTAATTCCCCTGGTACTTCACGATGAAAAGAATTTGTTGAAGAAAAAAAAAAGTCAGTCACACCCCTCAAAGTTGATCTGTCATTGCCTACATGGGTGCTAAAGTACCCCAGTAGAGCATTGATAACCCCAGACAAAGCACTTTCACTCACATCACTCAAAGAACTCAGAAAAGCTTGACTCCCTCATTCAAGGCAAGACAAAACACGCACAAACTAAATGTCCTATCTCACATTACTGTAAGTGTAGGAGAGGATGCCAATGAGGAGTTACAGCATCCTCCCGTATAGTCTGATGGGACTACACGGGAGCAAACAGTGTCTGGATCGTTTGTTAAAGTGAGATCAAGCTTTAACAAAGGTACCCCCCATCCTCTGAAAAGACACATTTTGTATCGTTTCAACCATCATGTTGGTCCATTAAGCACTCATTTACAAGAATAAGGCAGTGCTGTTGCAAAGAAGTACAAATATTTAAGATTTTACACAAGTACATGCATACAGTTATAATAAGTATACATGCGCAGTGGTTTATTCAAAAAGATTTCATCAAGGATTAGCTACATAAATACATCATGAAGAAAAAGGATTTTGACATATTTGTAAATATTGAAATTTCTGAGTTGGTTTCCTGATAACTAAAACCATAATTACAGACAAATAATTTGATTACACTAAATGTTTACAAACAGTTATCTGTTCTTCACAGCACACACTGGAGACAGGGAATTATTAGATTTTATTTTCCCTCATGGGGCGATTGTGTCAGAGTGGTGAGTGGGTCGATCCCCCATTCCAACTGCCTCAGTCATTGGGCAAGACACTTCACCTTCCTTGCCTGCTGTTGGTGGTCTGACGTAAAAGGTAACACCTCCTCGGGTGAACACAGGGTCCATAGAGTAAGGAACTCCAGTTACTTCAGTAAGCTGACCCATAGATCAGGAAACATTAGACATTCCCAAACAACATGGATGAAAGAACCCAGTGTTCAGGGAGTAATAAAGGTCAATAAAGGTCTGATGCAGCACCCCTTTTGCGCCTAATAACTGGTGTCAAATATGCTCTGTGACAAAATGTCACATGTTTACAGAAGTGTGAATGAACTTCTTAATTTAGCTCTCAAATCACAGACCACCCCGACCTTCAGCAGCAAAAACCTCTGTTTCAGCGATGTCCAATCCTGGTCCTCAAGGGCTGCTCTCCTGCATGTTTCCCTGCTCRCCTTTCTCCTGATTCACTGATTGAATATGAATGACCTCTTTAGGTGRTGTAGCGGCTAGTTAGTCACCCATTCATTTCAATAAGGTGTGGAGCYGAGAAGCCTCTAAAACATGCAGGATGGTGGTCCTCATGGACCGGACACTCCTGCTTTATCTGATCCCTGTCCTGCTTACAAGACATTGAGCAAAGACCCAGTGGCCTATAATCTTTCCTAAATGAAAAGCTTTTTTTTTTTGTTTCACCAGTAATTTTCTGATTTCTTGAATTAACAGTTTTTACAAGACTCAAAGGGTTGAAAGTAGCAATTATAAATGTTCCAGACGAATCAGACAGGACAACTCCTGAAGCAGTACGTGCTGCTGATAGACAAAGAAGTTAAAAATTTMGTTCAGTGCCTCTGAGTCGTAAAACTAAACTTTGCGTAGGCTGAACTGGTCTGTGTGTGTGTGTGTTTTTTTTTTTTTGAGGGGGGGGGGAGTTGAAAGGCGGTGGATGACACCTAGTTAAACTTTTGACGTAAATCTGACACTGAGATGTGACATTGATATTAGCGAACTTCCAGGCAAGTCGTGGGAGAGATTCTGTTTGCAGAAAGATTTCTGATAAGAACTTGTCACAGACCCAAACCAAAAACAGGTTCTCACGTGCACAGTTTAAACGTCAGCTGTTGGCAAACATCCAGACTTGTGCTGACTTTCATAACACAGGTTATTTCCATCATGTTCACTCATTTCTGTCAAAACTGCAAAAACCCTCAAAGGTCAGAACACCTGAACTSTACCACCTGACGTCTGTTTCATTTGAACCCAGCTGGCAGGTTTTGAGTCTTTATCTGTGCTTCAACAATTGAATGCATCTCTTTCAGTTCAAACTACAGCCATGAAATTTATTACTTTATAGTTCACCTTAAAGGTACATTTCAGTGTGATTCATGGTCCTGTTTGTGTTGGAATAAAAAAGACAGTTCAGGTAAAGAAAAGTGCCTTTAAGATGTGTTCAAAGGAGTGTCAGTGTGCTGTACTTAGGCCAGTTGTAAAAAAAAAAAGGGAAAATCTCGGCTGTTTAGCTGCAGCTTTGTTTTCGAGTTTCAAGCTCCTCCCTTTTACTTTTACTTTTACAGAGGGTGTTTTTCTGTCTGACGGATGAAATCGAAGTAACTGCTTGTTATCAATTACCGCTTATGGAGACGGATAAAAACGATCATCTGGTAAGGCATGAAAACTTACTTTTTATTATGTAAAAATTAGATTTTATTCAATGTGAGAGTTTTGATCTTTTTAGACTGAATTATTAATTCTCGTTTTTTTTAATCAGCCCCACAGTATGTTCACATTGATTCAATAACTTTGTAAATGTCAAATAGTTACTCAAATCTTATTGTGTTTTCTTTATTTTACTTGACATGCTGAGGAGACGCATCGCATGACCTGGCACTGCGTGGAGTCCTTTGTTGTGATCCAGCCACAGACGAAGACAGGAGAGGACAGAGAGAACTGCTGTTTGAGAAAAATCAACTTTTAACAGAGACTCTGTCTCTGCAGGAATATAACTCATATGGAGAACACTGCTGTAAAAAAGGAAATCCACAACCGGAATTGAAGAATCTGCTGCAGTGACGGCAGGTGATGGAACTAACCATGTGATGCTGATAACATGGAGTGCAGCAAAATTAAACAGAGTGGGTGTGCATTAACTCCATAATTTGCTTTGCAAAGTGAGTGGAAAATGTTACAAATGCAAAACAGGAGTAGCAGCAACATTCCTGTGTAGCCGATTCCCACAGAATCAGAAAGCAGACATTCCGGCAGCTGCATGGTCCCTGGCTGTCTCGTTTCCATTTACCTCGTTCCTCCTTACAGTCCAGTAGGTAAAACCCACAAATCCAGCCTCAGTTCCACTGTTTCTGTTGGAGTTTGAGGATATTTTTTTCATATTTTAAATTCTTTCCTTGTGAAAATCTGACTGTGTGTCTTAGGTATGTMCAGAAAGACAGTTTCATGTCAAGAGCAAATTCTGTAGCTCCAAGAAAATATCCAGCAAAACATTGCAATAATAGAATTAGGTCTTCTTGTTTTAGAAAACTGCAGTTTTATGTACTGTAACTCAAAAAATGTTTGGGTATATACATTTTGTTTTACTAGAAGAACAATAAACGACATCTGTTATAAATGTAGTTACTTAGAAAGTAACTTTTGGAATAGTTGTTTTCAATAATACAGATAGTTTCCATTAATTCCCTTCGAAGCAATCCACAGCCACTGTTTTGAATCAGTTGACAGTCAAAACTGCAAATAAAGGATTAATTGTTGGCAACAAACTGGCAGCAGCAGCATCAAAATATGTTTGGCCTCGCTGAAGGGTCACAAATTCCTTCATAAGTAGTTCCCGTCCACTAGATCATCTCATGCCAGCGTGTCACTGAGCTGCAAGTAAAAACAAAARTGCAAGAAAATACCTTAGAAWCAAAGGAAATTGTTTTTACAACATGCATGTTATTGCAAATACACTCGAATGTTTAAAACTCTCTCTACTAATCATGCTTCTTTTAAAAAAAAATGTTACAGTGTAGTCTGTGCTTTGGAAGAGATTGTCTCATTCCTGTGCCAAAGATGCAGCGGCTCAGTGACGCTGAGGACTGTAAACTGGCGTTGACYTCTGACATTGTGAAGACCGTTGGAGATTTCTCCTGGAGCAGCTTCGGCCCATCAGGTTCCATTTGGATCCCCTCTAGTTTGCCCTCTTGGTTTGGAATTGAGGACACCATCATCTACCTGCTGAATCATGTTTACACCTGGATAAGCTAGCTCAAGGGTCGGCTGAGAAACTCACAGTGATGCAGATGGATGCCCTCTTGTTTGTGAACGAGCTGACTGACAGACCTCAGTACTTTGTGTGCGCTTSCAGAACTGTGTGTCGGACAGAGTGGTCATCAACACTGGGGCCCCACAGGGGACAGTCCTTTTCACCCTCAACACCACAGACTTCAGCTGTCAGAGTCCTGCTATATGATTTTCTGATGATTCTGCAATAGTTGTGTCAGAAATGGCGCTGATGCTGATCACAGGTCACATGGTGCGAGCAAAACTACCTGCAGCTCACCAAGACAAAGACAAAGGGACTGGTTGTGGATTTAAGATGGGTSAGGACACCGGTGACCCCTGTTTCCATCCAGTTGTTCACTGTGGGCATTGTGGAGGATCATAAACGCCTAGGAGTGTTCACTGACCATAAACTGGACGGGGCTAAGAACACTGATGCCCCGTACAGGAAGGGCCTCTTATTTAAAGAGGCTGAGGTCATTTACTGAAAATTTTGAAAATATTATATAAGACTGGTGTCTTCATGTATACTGTTGTTGTGCTGTAGATGGAGAGTAGTGGATGCCAACAGACTTCACAAACTTATCTGCAAAGTCAGAGAAGTTATTGAGGTGGAGCTGGACTCAGTGACTGTGGTGTCACAGAAGAATATTAACTAGGCTTCAAGCCATCCACTCCGTGTCCCACTGGTTAGACACAGGTGCACATTCAGTACAAGACTGAGACCTTAACAAAGCAGGACGTAATTTCTACCTGTGGTCATCCAGCTATTGATACATCATTTAAAATGTTCAAAGTGGATACTGCAAGCAAAATAAAATACTTTTTATTTATTGGTAACCCAGGCAGGAGCAGATGGAATGAATGATGAAGGGGATGAGGGTGATCCTCTGTGAGCAGAGAGCAGTGAACACAGCGGTTGTGAAGTTTGGGAAAGGAGGTTTGAGGTTAACCAGTTATTTTGCCGTCCTGGTTTATGATCTGTGACAGTTTGCTTTTGTTTTACATTAAATAAGTCATACGAGAATACATGTGTAAAGTGATGAACATACTGTATGTTCATTATTTAGCTCACTTTCTGAGTGTTAAAAAATTACCACAAATATTTAAATGTTATTAAACTCATTTAAATTTTGCTAATTTTTACTGAATGCTAAATTTAAATGTTATAAATTTAAATGTGTAAACTTAAATGTAAAAGTAAATCTTCATTGTTGTTGAGAAATCACACACACGACAGACCCTGGAGCAG